GCTCATTTGGGTCTCCTGATGCCCTGAGCATTGTCCTGTCTATGGGCCCTGTTACTTTTCAGGTAAATATAGTTCAGCCTTGTTTATCCAGCTTCACTGGGACCAAGCCCAGTTCAGATCATCAGCATCAGAATAGTCTGGGAATGTGTTGCAGGATAGTTTTTTCCTATATAAAAGAATAGCCACCGCAAAGTTTCAGTAAGAACATTATCGACTGGGGAGACTCTCATTTATTTAGAAAAGCACCTGGTTCAGATGGAGGAAAAATTACTTTGTCCTAATTGCTTCACATAATAAGCCAGAGATTCTAACCAGCAGGCCAGGATAAATGTTTTGCATGGTATAATCAAATCAGTTAACAAGAATCAAATAAAATCCAGGTGATGGTGTTTCTGTGCAATTTTTGCATCAAGCTCTGGTACTCATGTGTAGACATTTACGCATTACAGAGAAAGACTATTTTATGTTTCGGTTTTTGTGTATAGCATTTTTTTTTGTTCAGACCCATTAGAACTTCTATACCAAAATGACCTCCTATCATCACTCTGAATAATAGTCAGGGGTTTCCTCTCTTACTCGGTGCATTTTTTAGACCACGTAGCTTGAATAGTTATCTTCAAAGACAGTTAATCATGCAGTCAGTTTTATACTTTGTAATCACCTCTAATTTTGATGCAACATGGTTTTTTGCCAGTTGGATTATCCCTCTCATTTATTTAACACATCTCTATATTTGTTGGCTATTTTCTCAAATCACATCTACCTTAAGAATTCAAGATTTGCCATCATTGATTAATTCATGGAGCAGGAATCAAGCTCAGTAGCTAATTTCTCAAAATGGTCTGGAAAATCTTTTGTAAAATGGCAGTATCACTGGCATTGAGGTACACATTTTAAATTATTTTTAACCTTGGTGGGTTCATAGAGCTAATATGGTGGATGCTATCTTCTGCCAGAAATACAAACATATACACACATTTTGCATATCTTTTCAAAAGGATTGGTAGACACATATAGCATACCCAGGGATCCCTGAGGGTTAAGAACTTTTGTTCTAAAGGGACATCTTAGATAGAGATAGTATTTATTTTCACTTACAGTTAAGATATGTTTGTTAAAAATTCAATAGTTTCATCATCTTTCGCCACAGCTTAAATCCATACATGTAATATTCCATGTAGATATGTGTAATTAACTGCATTGAAAGTGACCTACTTTTCAGAATTTCTGTTTTATGAGGTTTTTCATTTTATTTTAATCTATTTTAAATATTCCTTTAAACCTTTTCAACTTTCTAAGTGAGGGCTTTTTCTTTTTTAATTTATGAAAGTGTTTCTTTTTTATTCTGGTTAATCTTAAAAGCACATCTATCTACAGCCCTTTGGCTTGAATATTTGATTTAATATTTGCATTTGAAAAAATTCTTTAAATATGACATTGACCTTAAAGATTTTGAAAGTCAGAAGCTACATATAAATTTAATTCCAGTTCTCTGTTATTAAAATAACATTGACTGAATCTCAGAATTAGGTGATAACTATTTTACACGTTTTTGAACATTACCAAATGATAATTTTTAGAATTAAATAAAATGCAAATCCAAGGGGCTGCAAGAGTTTACTATATGCAACTACATTTTTCGTGTAGTTTACAGAACTTACATAGAAATAATAAGTTATTTTAGTGGCCATATACACTGGTGTCTTAGTCCAGGCTCCTACAACAAAATAGCATTAACTGGGTGGCTTATAGGCAACAGCAATTCATTTCTTACAGTTCTGGAGACTGGGAAGTCAAAGATCAAGGCACCAGAAGATTCAGTATCTGGTGAGAACTCACTTTCTGGTTCATAGATGGTGCCTTCTAACTGTGTCCTCACATAGTGGAAAGGGTAAGGGGACTCTCTGGGACCTTTTTAAATCTTTTTCTTAAGGGTACTAATCTCATTCATGAAGGCTCCACTTTTATGATCTAATCACCTTCCTAAGGCCCCACCCCCTAATGCCATCACCTTGGCAGTTAGAATTTCAGCTTAGGAATTTTAGGGGGACACAAATATTCAGATCATGAATATATATATTTTCTTTCTCCATCATTATGAGTAAGGATTTCATGTACCTATCCAGTGCAGCTTTCATCACCCCCTAAGCAGAAAAGCTGCACTACCACTTCAAACCTACAACTAAATGTAATGTAATGAAATCCATGATGTAAAAGATACAGAATCAAATCTAAGCCTGCTAAAGGTTATGAGACTAGAAATTCTGAGATCCCTAAAAATAAAGTAACTTTGGTGGAAACCATCTTCCATAGGTACCTGCTTATTTGTGAATATTGTCATGAGGTTATATAGTACTTTTCCTCCTACTTTATTGATGTGTGTGGAGGTAGAACCATTTCTGGAGAAAAGTCTCACATACATGACAGTGAGCTTGTGGGTTTGGTGGTGGGTCATGCTGATATGAAATCCTTGTCATCACATAAAGACATGTATATTTGTGTGCACACATCGAATATACTAAAACGGCATTTTTCTAAAATGCATATTCTTTCATATATTTTATTTCTAAAGTCAGGACTTCTCTTAGAACTGATAATGTGTTATACTACATAAAATAATAGTGCAAAGAACAACTGATGGTATCTTGGATGCAATGAAATGCATTATATGGAAACATATCAGAAGGTGCCTCAATAATGTTAAAGCAACTCCCCAAGAATATTGAAATTACAAAGATAATTTATTTGCTAAAGACACAGATTTTGGTGATAAAACAGATACAGTCTGGTGAGTAATTTTTCAAATGCTTTCACCCATCTTATGTGACTCATTAGATCATAAACTTGTAAACTCAATGTAAATCACCATTGAAGAGACATTTCTTATGTGATATTTGGTGCAGAATCATAATGTTTGTGTCACATTATGATTAACAACAATGAATTATTGTTCAGTGTAAATGAATAAATTTTAACTAAATACAAAATCTTGGATAATTCTATAACATTGATGTTGAGAGAAATTAATGTTGGACAAGACAAAATATCAAATAATATCATTTTTAGTAAACAACTAAAACTAAAACACTTTCAAATTTAAAATTTAGCCTGATCTATATAATACCTTTTTAAATCATTGTATATTTTTAGTGTTCATGTGAGAAAAATATTCAAAAAATTTTTTTCAATTGGCATCTTAGCTCCGAAATTAAAAGAGCATTTTTTAATGGGAGCTGGTTTAAAACAATTTGACATGAGTTACATAACAGTTTGGCAAATGTGTCTGTGCTCAGTTTTGCTTCCAAATTTGGACTTTCAGACTTATTGTCAGTCTCAGAAAGAAATAAGAAGCAGTGCAGATAATTAAACATTTGCCTTGGGGGAATTATTTGCAGTTAATTAAAGCCACACACTTCGGGTATATATTAATACTTGCTTCACTGGTTATTAAATTTGAATCATATGTTAACTACCCAGGTTTCTCACTTGTCCATCAAATGTTGCTTGTGGCAGGTTCAAGAAACAAACTTTCTCATAATATTCCAAACCATGTTGTTTAAAGCTATCTCCTAATTTTGAGAGGAAATGAGTGGAGAGAGACAGAGGGAGGGAGGAAAAGGAAACAAACAAAGAATAGTTTGTTTTAGACTCCATCTGATTCAGCTCTGTTAGGGAGTTAAAACTCAACCAAGAGACACAAATTCAGTAGAGAATCCATTTGTAAGTAATCAAGGTGTTGGTGTACCACCCCCAGCTTTCTCCATGGCCACATGCTTACAGGATTAGCTTATGACTTTTAGATATCTTTGGATTGCTTTCCTTACAGCAGCATGAAAAATATCTACTAGACTATAAGCTCCATGAGGGCAGAGATTTGGTGTTTTGTTTCCTGTTGGCTCCCCACCATCAAGTTTAGTGAGGTGTGATGGCTCACACCTATAATCCCAGCACTTTGGGAGAATGAGGCAGGAGGATCCTTTGAGGCCAGGAGTTCAAGACCAGTTTGGGCAAAATTACAAAATCCTGCCTATACAAAAAATTAGAAAACTAAGTGGGCGTGGTGGCCTATGCCTATGGTCCTAGCTACTACAGAGGCTGGAACAGGAGGATCACTTCAGCCCAGAAGTTTGAGGTTGCAGTGAGCTACAGTTGCAGCACTGCATCCAGCCTGGGTAACAGAGACTCTTTCTTAAAAAAGTGTCTGGCATATACCTGGCCATTATTAAATGTTTGGAAAATGAATGAGAGACCTACTTGCTGTCTTCCTGTTGATCCATTCACAGGATCATTCCAATGCTTTTTTAAACAGCCTCCAGGGAGACCTAAATATTCAGCAAGGAGCCCTTTGTAGTTTTGCAATAGCCCATAGTCACGGAATCCTTTTAGCCATGTTTTTTTCCTGTAACCACATCCTATAACAAAAAAATAATAATAATAAGTGTACAATGATTCCATGTTTAAATGTGCTAAACGAGGGAGGGAATGACCTTGCAGAGACCAGAAGGTCTGCATTCCTTCCATGCTATTGTTCTACTGTTATGGTTTCCGAGGAAGATGAACTTAATTACCGCTGGATTTCAAGGTTCTGTATCTGACTTTTTCAAGGACTCAAGACTCCCATAGGTGAGCAACCACAGTAATGGAAGCATTAAGAACATTAAAATTAGATAGTCCTTTAATCTTCTCTATTTTGCCTTCCTTTTATATCCTTTCCTACAGTTCTAAGACATTCCCTGATGCAAAAAGATTGCTTTTATTTTCTTATTTGTTGCAAAAAGATATCCCAGCTAGCTACATCTCTGCCTTTGTAAGCTTTGAGCAGATATCTCACATAGTACGGGGGCGGGGCCTATTTATTGGCAAACATATGTATTTGCGGTTATTTTTTAAAGTAGTAAATTCTATTTTTCCTCAAACATAAGTCTATCATGTTAGTGCTGAAAGCTGCTCTATTTCCAATTTAAAAATGCTGACTAAAGGTTTTGCTTGGTGGTTGTTAGATTCTGCAAAGGATGACAATATTACAAAAGGCGGCGAAGTGACAGATCATTCTGTGTGTGACCAAGATCATCCCGATGGTAAGTTGTGAAATCCTTTATTAGCTTTTCTTTTCTTCTGCTGTGAAATAGGAAAAAAAAACCCACAGACTTGAATTTTTCTGGAAAAATATTGAATTCCAATAACACTTTATTAGCACTGAATACCAGTTGATCAGTAGCTGCCATCTTTAGATGACACTTTTGCTTTCCAGAATCCTCATCACTCATTACTTTTGTGCCAGGCTGGCTTCATTTATTTTGTTTATTGTTACTTGCCTGAATTCTATAAGCACTGGGTTTGCAAACACTGAGATGAATGTGTTATAACAATGAGAATAAATATTTCATTGAAAAACATGGAGAATAAATGCAGGGGATTAAATCCACATATTCTTGGGATATTAAGAAGGGAATATAGAACAAACAGAAATGAAACAATCTTTAGAAAAATAACAAAAAAAAAATGTCCTGATGTAAACCAGTTCTTCCACCCAAAACATGACAGTACACATTATATTTATAGGCAAAGGAAAAACTCATAACAGACATCTGCATAGCTTCACGGAATTTCTGAAGATAAATGATAAAGGCTTTTTAAGCATAGTCAAAATCAGGTAGTAATTAAAACCACCAGAATCAGATTAGCCTTAACTTTCTTCTTCCACAACCCTAAAAGCTAGAAGAAAATAGAGTCACAGTTTCCAGAGCTCTAAAGGGCACAGTTTCCATATTTAATGAAGTCGTTATTTATACATGAAGTCAGAGCAATATTTTCTCAGGAATACAAAGATTAAGAAAATATGCCACCTTGTTATCCTTTCTGAATAAACTAACAGAAGGCCTGAGCAAAAACAATAAATATAGAAAGGAAGACAAAACTCAAGACTGAGGAAGGCACATTTGAAAGGGACTATATGGTAAGAGACTAATTAAATGTATGAAAATGTTGACATAATTATGTTCTATCAAATAATTTTGAAATAACTATTCAAAATTAGGATCAAAATGTCTTACCTAAATATATGTCTTTAACTTTGAAATTTATAGTATGTGTTGTTTGAAAATGAGAAAAAGGAGAGACTAACATTCAATAATGAAAGTCTAACTTAGACCATTTCTCCTACTGAAGACAACTAACAAAAAATACATATATTTATGTATTATATATTATACATATACATATGGAGAGAGAGAGACTATTTAAAGGCATCAGTGAGCTAATAAGATACTGAAGAACTGTAAAGCTAAGTTCTGGGAAGCAATGAATCTCCAGATATGTTAGCCCAGAATTTGAAACTCTTTTTACCTTAGGGCATTTGCTGATTCTACAGAAGGTGTCTGGAGCTCCGTTGCTGAAAAAGGCTATGGCTCCTGATAAACTCTCTGTTTTGGGGTTGAAACCCCAAAGATATGTATCCTAGCAGGAAGAATGAATGAGCAGTAGATTGGCCTTGGACTGCTGCCCAGCTTCAAATCATCTCAATCCCCACATTAATTAAGACCAGCCCAGATTGCTAGTCCCCTCAGGCATCTAAGAAAAGCAAATGTAAAATATTTACCAGGAGTGAAAAAGAGTGTTATAGGCTTCAAATCATTTATGTAAATAATTTGCAAAATATAATGTCCTGCACACACATAAAAAATACCCCCAAAAATGAGGGAAAAGGGGTAACATGAAAAACAAAACAATAAGGCAAGAGAAGTAAGTTCATATGAGCTGAAAATATTAGAGTTATAAACACAAAGTATAAGATAATTATGCTGAGTATGTATAAGGAGATAAAGATAAGATTGGAAATTTTAGCTGAGAACTAGGAATTCAAAACAAAATAAATTTTGCAATAAAAGAGTCTAGAAGTAAATGATGCTGTAACTGAAATTAAGAATTCAATGAATGAATTTATGATTGAACAACATATTAGACACAGCTGAAAGAAGATTCCTGAACTAGAAGTTAGGTCAGAATGTGCCCAAAATAAACAAAAATAGTAGGAGAAAAAGGATGGCAAACACTAAAGAAAGGGAAAAAGATATTAAGGATCTTATGACAAAGTCTATCACAAGTACAGTTGGAGTCCCAGACAGGAAGGAGGGAGACAATTGGGCAGAAGCAATAGTTGAAGAATGTGGTGAGAAATTTCCCATGTTGATGAAGGACATCAGAGCCAAATGTTCCAAAAGCCCTTTGAACTCCAAGCAGAATAAATATAAATAAATAAATCCACAACCAGGCCCATCATAGTAAATAAATAAATAATATACAGAAATATAAATATTACAAATAATATAAATAAATAAATCCACAACAAGACCCATCATAGTAAAATTCCTGAAAACCAAAGAGAAACAAAACATCTAAAATCTATCTTCAAGCTCTTGGACTGATAGCTGACTTTTCAATATGGATAATGAAAATAAGAAGATAATACAACAAAATAGCTGTGAACCAAGAATTCTAAACCCAGGGGAATAGTATGTTTCAAAAATAAAGGTAAATGAAAGACGTTTTGGACCAAAAAGAAAGGCACAGTTCATCACCAGAGAATTCTGGTGTTCTGCAAGTAGAAAGCTATTAATCCCAAACAGAAGGCCAAAGATAAAGGAAGGAATTAAGAGCAAGGTAAATGGTAATTATTGGATAAGTCTAGATAAATATTGATGGTATAAATCAATACTGACAGTAATGTCTTATGGAGTTAAGATATACATAACCTTAAAATATACCACAATAATGGCATTTATTGGAATGAGGTAAATTAATTTTAAGTGTTCAAATGTTTTTCCATTAACATGAAGAGTAAAAGTACCAATTAGTGTTGAAACTTTGTCTCAGTGGCCCCTGAGAGTCAGGAAATGAGGTGAGCCCTGTAATTGCCCAGCTGGCTGCCTGGAGAGTTTCCAGGCTGTGGTGCAGAGAGGAGGAACCCAGAGGGAGCCCAGCAAACTCTCCACATTGAGGAGACAGAGGTGAGAGTCCTGGGAGGCCAAGGTAGCTAATGTTTGCAAGGTAGCTTTCTACAGAGAAGAGAGCTCCACAGAGGGAATGCTCAGAGGTCTACAGAAGGAACCCCTCAGTCTTCAACTGGGTAGGAACACTAAAAAAGATCTGAGAGAGTAATACCTGGAGCTTATGCAGGGCTAGAAGAAGTGCCTGTTCACACCAGCCAGGCTGGAAAGCCTAAACATTCATAAAGAACTCAGAAGGTTTTTGCCTTAGTAGTGGAGCAAAACAGGCAATAGACTAACTGCTTCTCCTGTCCTCCCCAGTAGAGCTTAAAAGTGAGACTTGAAAGGATCAGAATATCTCTTGAGTAACTTAACTGCATTTTAGAATGACGCTCAAAAATATTTATAAAAATTATAAATATATCTCATACCCAATAAAGTAAAATCAACAAAATTACCAGGCATGCAAAGAAGTATTGCAAGACAACTCTCCATGAGTCTTTCATATTTCTGCATATTTTGTGAGCAGAGGCACTGCTTCTGTCTTTGAAAAGGATCATGTTTCTCTTCAAATTAAAGAGCATACATACTTATTGTGCATTTTAAAAGGTTGAGAGAGTCTTGAGATTCTCTGATACGGTTTGGTTGTCTCCCCACCCAAATCTCATCTTGAATTGTAGCTCCCATAATCCACACGTGTTGTGGGAGGGACCCTGTGGGGGGTAATTGAATCACGGGGGTGGGCTTTCCCATGCTGTTCTCATGATAGTGAAGAAGCCTCACGAGATATGATAGTTTCATAAAGGGGAGTTTCCCTTCACACACTCTCTTGCCTGCCACCATGTAAGACATGCAGTTGCACCTCCCTTGCCTTCCACTATGATTATGAGGCCTCCCTAGCCATGTGGAACTGTGAGTCCATTAAACTTCTTTTCTTTATAAATTACCCAGTCTTGGGTATTTCTTCATAGCAGCATGAAAATAGACTAATACATTCTCTAAGTTCAAGATTCCTCCCCTATGATATCACCCACTGAGTGTGCAGGAATCAGCTGGTCCACCTATGGCACCATGTGGGAATCAGGACTCAGAGAACAGACACTAATACTCTGGTTTCTGTGATTTCTCTGAATAATAAACTGTTCTTTATCTTTGACCCAGAAGTCTTTGTCTTCTGTCAGCATCCATGGAATTGTGGCTCAAGCAGGGTAAAATCTCAGAGTCTTCATAGTTCTTGACAGGAATCAGGAAAGTATGACGCAAAGGAAAAGAAAAGTCCATAAATGGAACTCAACTCATAAATGATGCAGATGATAGAGTTAATATGAAAGGGCATGTTAAAAGTTGTTATAACTGTATTCCATGTACTTACGAAGTTAAAATTAGGACTGACCATGTTAATTCGAGACAAATAAGTTATAGAAAGATCCAAATTGAATTTCAAGGAATTCAAAACACAGTGCCTGAATTAAAAATTATACTTGATGAGAACAGTGGCAGATTAGATACTATAGAAGAAAAGGTTAAGGAATTTGAACATGTAGCAATAAAAGCCATCCAAATAGAGTAAGTGACCAAGGGAAAAAAGAGCATCCATGAGCTATGAGACATCTTGAAGGGTGGTTGTAATTACAATGTACATGAATGTGAATCTCTGAGGGTGAATGTGGGAGGAAGGGACAGAAAAAATATTTGAAGTAAAGGTGATTAAAAATGTGTCAGTGTGATGAAATTATGAACCCACATATGCAAGAAGTTCTATGACCCCAAAGCATAAGAAACGTAATGAAAATTACACCTAAGCACATCATAATCAATTTGTTTGACACCAGCAACAAAGAGAAAAATCGCAAAAACAAGCAGAGGAAAATTACAAGTTACAGACAGAGGACAAAGATAAAGATAAATCAGGCCAGTCACAGTGACTCAGGCCTGTAATCCCAGCACTTTGGGAGGTTGAGATGGGCAGATCACTTGAAGTCAGGAGTTTGAGACCAGCCTGACCAACATGGTGAAACCCCATCTCTACTAAAAACACAAAAATTCGCAAGGCATGGTGACGGTGCCTGTAACCCCAGCTACTCAGGAGGCTG